AAAAAAAACATCTAAACTATAGGATAGAATTCCTTCTCATATTTTGAATATTTTCACCGATAATTGTTAAGTTTTTCAATAAAAAATGGTATAGGAAGTCTACCCTGACTGAGCACCACCCCCATTCCAACATTTAAAACATTAATGCTTTCCATCTCAAACACTTACGTGATCAAAATCAAGGAGGGCTAACACTGGGGCAGATATGACTCATTGTTTTAAGTGATCAAAGCTTAATATTGGGCTATAGTACCCAAATAAAGTTGATATAATCTAAGATTTTGTATGATGGTAGTTGTTTTTTTTTTTTTTAATAAATTGTTGATATTGTGATTGTAGCCCATGAAAATACCACACTTTTGTGAAAAGATTGAGAGATTGGAAAATTTATAATAGCCTTAACCTTGATTGGATCTACCTGTATTCTTGCAGAAAAAAGAAAGCTAGGAATCTCAAAATTTTAATTTCATCATCAACGACAAACATTTTGCTTGGTTAAAAAATAATTATTTCTTTAGGAGAAATTTAAAAATTTGACGAATGTGCTATGGTAGTTCTTCAAGAGTATGGATATATACTAGAATATTATAGAAATAAAGTCGCAAAGAAATAGTTGAAATTTTTGACTCATGAGTCATAAAAATGCCCAGTGCATTAATTAATTTGAAAGACATCACAATTCATTCATGTAACTCATCTTATGTTTTAAAAGTGATCATTTGTTCATTCCCATCTCTCATTTAGATCTGATGATAACGTCTCTGCAAATGAACTTTGGAAAATAAAATAGTTTGATCCACGATCATTAATATTGAAATTTGTAAGCTATACTAAACTATTATTTTTTACAGCTCCACTATTAATGCACATTGTAAAAGAAGTGGGTAGATAGACTCTAGTATTGAGTTGTCTTTTGTGTTTTTCTCCATCATTACCTATAAATAACCTTTTATTGGCTACTTGTAATGCTTTAAAGAATAGAGAGATATATCACTAGGCTAACAAAGGAGTGTCCTTCAATTTTTTTGTGCAAGGGAACAAGAATAATTAAAATTCCCTTATGGTTATAGAGTTAGTGTTAGCATTCTTGATGTGGTACACACCGGAAGAAGCATGTTCACAAGAACAATCAAAGAAGGCAAGAAAGCAAAGAAGGCGTCGGCCTTAGTTTGTATCACATTAACTGAGTAATTCATCTTCTCAAAGGAGAAGAAATACAAAACCAGGTCACTAAAAATGGCTCCTGCACAAAAAGAGAGTGCCCGTCCTACTTACTAAAAGCAGCAATAGAAGAAGAAGGTGGCTGCGCCTCATCCAAAGGCTGCACTAACAGAAAAACTAAAAGTTTTAAATAAAACTGAAAGCATTTAAATAAAACAGTAACTAAGCGGACGGCTGAGATGGTCCGCAACATGGACGGCAGTGATGCTCCGCATCAATTCTCTTCCTGTATTTTTTTTCGATTATTTTGCTTTGACCTCCCCCATTGACAAGTAGCATGTTTCCATCAACAACATATATTACACCAAACCAGCTCTTCAAATATTTTGATTGATAAATTAACCAAACTTAATTTGAACATTCTCACATCACTCTCTTTTTTTAGCCAATATAACTTGTAAGGAAGGGGATACTTTTTTTATCTTTAATTGCAATTTCTCGACTTTGTCGTGGCCACTACACTCTGCAAATCACATAATCATAAACATTAGATATAAATGCCTACAAAGACAATGCTTGCTCCAATTACCCCTTGCCTAAGAACTATTCGAACGAAGCACCTCTTCGATCACCTTCTCCAAGTTTACCGAAGAGCTCCCTAGAGGACTAATTGCCTTAGCTGCACTCTCCTTCCATTCCAAAGCCTTCTTTCTCATCCCCCTCCCCTTCCCCCCCGCCATTATCTCCCTTATCATTCCCTCCACCTCCTCCCTCTTCACATTATTGTCAATCTCCATCCCCACACCCCAATCAGTGCAACGATTAGCATCTTCCTCGTACTTCTTATTGGATTCGGTAAGCTTCTCGCGAACCTCCTGGAGCATCTGTGAGAACTGAGTGGCGAAATCCACAGCAGATTTGCTGGAACACTTGGGTAACACGGCCAGATCCACCGTGTGATTCGGTAACTTCGTGTATACAATGCTGAATGGACTCTTCCCGGTTGAGCGATTAGTCATGATGTTATAGGCAAACTCGGCCTGTCCCAAGAGTTCATCCCAAAGTCGCGGGTGCTCTTGCACCACGCAACGGAGCATATTGCCTAATGTCCGATTAATCACCTCCGTCTGTCCGTCCGTTTGCGGATGATATGCCGAGCTAAGTTTGATGTCTGTCTGCAAACGTTTCCAAAGCTCCTTCCAAAAATGGCTGACGAACTTGACATCTCGGTCGGAAGTGAGACTCCGAGGAAGGCCGTGTAGGCGAACTACTTCAGCGAAGAAGATGCGGGCCACATTTAAGGCGTCGAAAGTCTTCTTGCACGGCACAAAATGAGCCATTTTGGAGAAGCGATCAACGACTACCATAATGGAGTCGTTGCCGCGCTTGGTACGTGGCAGACCCATCACAAAATCTAGACTAAGGTCCTCCCAAATTGATTCCGGCGTTGGTAGTGGCAGGTATACGCCTGCAAGCTGACCGCCAGTTTTGTAACTTTGACATACCAGACACCTTTCTACGAATCGCATCACGTCACGATGCAAGTGCGAATCAAGGAGGGCTAACACTGGGGCAGATATGACTCATTGTTTTAAGTGATCAAAGCTTAATATTGGGCTATAGTACCCAAATAAAGTTGATATAATCTAAGATTTTGTATGATGGTAGTTGTTTTTTTTTTTTTTTAATAAATTGTTGATATTGTGATTGTAGCCCATGAAATTACCACACTTTTGTGAAAAGATTGAGAGATTGGAAAATTTATAATAGCCTTAACCTTGATTGGATCGACCTCTATTCTTGCAGAAAAAAGAAAGCTAGGAATCTCAAAATTTTAATTTCATCATCAACGACTAACATTTTGCTTGGTTAACAAATAATTATTTCTTTAGGAGAAATTTAAAAATTTGACGAATGTGCTACGGTAGTTCTTCTAGAGTATGGCTATATACTAGAATATTATAGAAATACACCACCAAAAATTTGCAAAGAAACCGCTGAAAATTTTGACTCATGAGTCATAAAAATGCCCAGTGCATTAATTAATTTGAAAGACATCACAATTCATTCATGTAACTCATCTGTTCATTTCCATCTCTCATTTTGATCTGATGATAAAGTCTCTGCAAATGAACTTTGGAAAATAAAATAGTTTGATCCATGCAACTGATTGAAATGATCATTGATATTGGAATTTGTAAGCTAGACTAAACTACTATTTTTTACAGCTCCACTATTAATGCACATTGTAAAAGAAGTTGGTAGATAGACTCTAGTATTGACTTGGCTTTTGTGTTTTTCTCCATCATTACCAATAAATAACCTTTTATTGGCTACTTGTAATGCCTAAAAGAATAGAGAACATGATATCACTAGGCTATCAAAGGAGAGTCCTTCAATTTTTTGTGCAAGGGAATAAGAATAATTAAAATTCTCTTATGGTTATAGAGTTAGTGCTAGCAATCTCTTCCTTTTTTTTTCGATCATTTTAATATGACCTTCCCTATGACAAGTAGCATGTTTCCATCAACATCATATATTACACCAAACCAGCTCTTCAAATATTTTGATTGATAAATTAACCAAACTTAATTTGAACATTCTCACATCACTCCCTTTTAGCCAAGATAGCTTGTAAGGAAGGGGATACATTTTTATCTTTAATTACAATTTCTCTTACACTCAATTAATGATTACATGGCATATCCTGCTCGGATTGTATAGCATATTTTGAAGGTGCTATGTCATGCAGCTCACCTTAATTGATATGTTGGTTGGGAGCTTTGACTACCAACCAAGAGAAGTTGGGTTTGAGTCTTACGTATGTAATGTGTGTGTTTGCCTTAATTGGCCTAAATGTCCCCAAAGAAAAGATGATATGTCAAATCCTAGGATCTTTCTTGCATGTGTTTAGAAGGCATCAAAGGACCAGCAAATTCCCTTCATCTACCTAAAAGAAAGTCTTCTCCCGATTATTTGCATGCAACTTCCTCATCTAGAGCATCTTTTATTATTAAAACTAGCTAAAATCTTTCTTATTAGGTTCTTCAATAAGACAAACTACTTCTCGGTTTTAAAATTTGACACAAAATGACGATATTTATGACACTTGATACATTTTTTTAGGTGGAAAAATGTTGTTTGACAACCCACTACGATTGTTTGCAATGAAGCTGGTTTCTATTAGTGTAAATATGTTGTATTAAACATTGTCTGTCGTGGCATGCTATCACTGGCTGCTTATTTAAGCTTTGCCTACATATAGTCCTGGAGACCGGTTGTACAAGGAAGATAATCAAGAAAACATTTTCTATTTCTTCCTTCTTCTCTACGTTTCTTTCTCTATTCACTGTCTTCTTCAGTTTCAATCGACTCAGCTTTATTTTTCAAAACTACTTCTTAGAGATGTTCTTGATGAGTAGATCATCCGTTCAAATGCCTACTCTTTGCTTTGTGAACTTAGTTTTGTTTGTTGACCTTAATAGCCAAACTAACAAGATCCTCAAAGGACCAATATGGTTGCAATTGCACCAAATTTGTGAGGACTTCCTTGCCCATCATGGACTAGCAGCAAATTATGTGAGGAGGAAACAATGAATTTTATTAGTTAAAAATATATAAATTGAGAAATTTTGAATACTATATATGTTCGTAAATCTCTAATATATTAGAGTTGTATTCTTGAACATGCAAATGCAACAAATAACCGGATAATGTTCCTCCAAAAAGAGAAATTATCAAGTGTAAATTATACATCTACTACATGCAAATCACATAATCATAAACATTAGATATAAACGCCTACAAAGGCAATGCTTGCTCCAATTAGATATAAAATCCTAAGAACTATTCGAACGAAGCACCTCTTCGATCACCTTCTCCAAGTTTACCGAAGAGCTCCCTAGGGGACTAATTGCCTTAGCTGCACTCTCCTTCCACTCCGCCGCTTTCGCTCTCATTGCCCTCCCCTTCTCCCCCGCCATCATCTCCCTTATCATTCCCTCCACCTCCTCCCTCTTCACATTATTGTCAATCTCCATCCCCACACCCCAATCAGTGCATGAATACAAGCAATTGGTCTGCTGCTCGGCGAAGAACGGCCAGCATATCATCGGCACGCCAGCAGTTAAGCTCTCCAATGTCGAATTCCAGCCTGAGTGTGTTAAGAAGACGCCCACCGCCGGGTCGAAAAGTAGCTCCTCCTGCGCGCACCAGCTCGTCATCATCCCTCTCTCTTTAATCTCTTCCAAGAACTCCGGTGGCAGCACGGCCGATTCTCCCTTCACGAGGTCGGGCCTGATCACCCATAGAAAGGCGTAGCCGCTATTGGCGAGACCCCATGCGAACTCGACGAGCTGTTCGTTGCTCATTATAGTTATGCTTCCGAAGTTGACGTACACAACTGACTGAGCTTCCTTGCCGGCGAGCCAGTTTAGGCATGTAGAGTCCTCCTTCCACAGGCTTGTGCTGATGGCCGCGAGGGGACTGTCGCTTGGTATTGTGCGTCGGACGAGGGCCGATAGTGGGCCGATGGAGTTGACGGACGGGAGGATCTTCTGCAGTGCGGCGAGGGCGGGGACTTCAAGGGCGTCAATGGTGTTAAGCACGAGAGCTGAGGCCATGGAAACTCTGCCTACCTCGTGCAAGATGAAGTTGAACATCTTTTCATTGGGATCCGTCACACGAATGAAGGTGGGTAAGTCCTTGAGACGCGTGCCTTTTCTCAGTCCCGGGATCCAATCTACTTCAGTGTCAAGGAATCTCCCATTGTTGAGCTCTGCCTCATCTACGTTGGAACACAAAACAAGATTAGTCAAAGAGTGAGGAAAAACATCAAACATTTTCAAGATGAGGAAATATGTAGATGAAATTCATCTAAGATATTGTGTTAAATTATATATATTCTTTAATTTATCACATTTCTTAATTGAATTATTTAAAAATAAATAATATTATCATGCAATAAAAAAAATGGTTTCGTGCAATTTAATTTTAATTTTTTATTTTTGGATAAGATGAGAGCTGAAGCTTCGTTTTGGGCCGTTGATATAAGTAACTCCAAATTTAATTTGTCAATTTTATTTGAAATATATAATAAAGGTCAACGTTTTCTTTCGTATATTATTTTATGCTAGAAAAAAGACTTATAAGTGGGAAATTAATTTTAAAATTTGTTTTTTTTAATTTAATAATTTTTCTAATAAAATAATATTTTATTTTTTAAAGATAATAAATTAAAAAATAAATTCATCAAATATCATATTAATTTCTTATTTCCTTAAATCATAATAATAACTAAATATTTATAAACAATAACCATAGGAACGGAAAATTTAGAAAATGATATTATGATATTAATTATATTTTCAAATAGGAAGCAGGCTAAAATAACCACCGTCTCCCGTAAAGGAAGGAGAAATTATTCTATGCGGAGTGGAAGAACCTTCGGATATGTAAACAGTCTGAACTCTGAACAGAGTTACACAACGTTTTTAACTTATTATTTACCTTTGAAAGGAACGAGGCCGCGATCCACAAGCTGTTGGTAGTGGAGGTAGGCGAGGAAGCCGCAGGCACTAGTAGTCCAGAAAAGGATCTCAGGGATGCCGAGATCCCGGGCTGCGTCAAGGGTGAAGCTCATGACGCCATCCGAGACTATGCAAGAGACTGGCGGAGCACCGGAGGAATTCTCTTCATTGAGCTTAGCCAGAAGACCTAAGAAGGGACCGAGACAGTTCTTCATTGTAGATTCGCAGAGGTCAGGGACGTTCTGCGTAGCATCCTCGTCGGAGTAGGGGAGGCCGTCGGGAATGGAAGCGAAACGGAAATCAGCGAGTCCCCGAACAGCCTCTGCGCCCTGCGAACGAACCAGCCGACGGTAGTTGAACTCGGTGAGAACGAAGGTGATGTAGAAGCCTCGGGCATGGAGGACTTTGGCTAACTTTAATACGGGGTTCATGTGGCCTTGCGCCGGGTATGGAACGCACACGGCGTGGTGTTTCTCTGCTGCAACGGAACCCATTTCTCTTTCTCCTAATCTCTTTCTACAAAGCTTCGCTAGCTCCTTGTTAGTTCTCCAGATTGCTAGCTGTGTTTATATATAGAGAAGGTGATCGACGTCGAAGCCAGAATAAAAGACGAATTTTTGTTTGATTTTTTCTTTTATTTTGGACGGATTCAAGTCTTGATTATTCATTCTGGTCTCTACTTAATTTATATATTAATTGTTGAATTTTCGATTGAGCGAGTTTTCACTATTTTATTCATGCTATTATTTGTCTCTTTTCTTTTTGTTATTTCTTTATGATGCTAAGCAGCTTCCTCCATCTATATCTATCAGTACTGTGATAGCTTTGGCCAAGTTGTTGTTCTACTGTGATAGCTTTGGCCAAGTTGTTGTTCTGATAGAATTTAAAATTTTTTGTGTAATAATTATATATTTATGATAAAAAAAATTAGTAAAGAATTAACGAATTTTGCTGATTTGTTTTTAATTTTGGAAAAATTTTAAATTAGTTATTATTAAATTTTAAGAATGTAAGTATTGAAAAAAAAAAAATAGAAGTAGGTAAAATCATCCATCAAACGAGCGACTTATGTTGACTTGACTCAGACTTTATGAGTCATGTGCTAGTCGTCGAACTAATAGGCGACTTATTTAAAAAAAAATTATTGTAAGTTGCCTGTTAAACGAGAAACTTGTTACAGTAAAATTTTAAAAATAATTTAAAAATAAAATAGGTAAAAAATATATTTTAAAAACAATTAAAAATAAAAATAGAGAAAAAAGCACAAAAAATATAAAATTAATGTAAACTATAATTTTTTATATTTTGATAGAAGTCAATAATGTAAATATGTATATTTATGGAAATTTGATAAAAATGAACTTTTTTGTTTATTTTGATATTATTAAAATTTTAATCATTAATTTTTTTATGGATAAGCATTATACCAAAAGTTCAAGCGACAAAAAAAAAATCACGATTAAAAGTTTCTCCTTAAACACGGGCTTCGAAAATAAATATCATATCTCTAAATATTTCGTTTAAAAATATATATTTAAACTATTGACTTCTATTAAAATATAGAAATTATATTTTACACTAACTCTATATTTTTGTTTTTGTCTATTTTCACTTTTAAATTATTTTTTCAAATATATTTATTTCAATATTTTCTACCTATTTTATTTTTAAACTATTTTTCAAAATTTAGTGCAGTAGGCCGCCTATTTAACGGGCAACTTATAATAGTAATTTTTTTTAAAAAATAAGTCGCATGTTAGTTCGGCAACTGACACATGACTCGACATGTCTGACTCAGCATAAGTTGTCCGTTTGATGGACGACTTTGTCTACTTTTAAAAAAATTTTATACTTAATTACATTATTAAAATTTTAATAATACCTAGTTTAAAATTTTATCCTTTTATTTTATGGCGGCAATTCCCTCTGAAAATTGCAGCAGATTTATTTATGCGGGAAGGAGTTTTCCGACTCGTGTTTTACCAAGGAAAACAATTTTATCGGAAATTCACCGAAAATATTAATTACCAGCATATTTTGATCATTTTCCAACAAAAATGACCGCCAAAAAACATCTATTTTTCTTGTAGTGATCAGATTACTTCTAAATATCTAAAACTTATACTCTATTAGAACAGACAAATAAACAGTAACTTTGTATAGCCTTTTGTATTTGTTTGTACAGGTGTCAGCATAATATTGGCTGCTTACACCTTTAACTACTTTGTAGGTCTATAAGTATCTCTGTATTGTTTCTGAACGGATAGGTGAATTAATATTACTTTTACATCTTTCTGTTTCTTGTCTCTGTTCTTCGTTTTCCTTCATTTCTACATGGTATCAGGAAAGGATTTCAAGATACTGCTCATCCGGAACATGTATGTCGTTTAAATAAAGCCATCTACGGCTTGAAACAAGCTCCGAGACAATGGTATAACACATTTACCTCATTTCTTGTTTCTATTGGATTCTCGCATAGTCAGGCCGACCCATCTCTCATGATATACCGGCAAGATATGATTCAAATTTTCTTGCTCATTTACGTCGACGACATCTTGATTACTGGCAACAACGAAGACTGCATTCGCTCCATTCTCAATAAACTCAGCACTGAGTTTGCAATGAAGCATCTCGGTCAAGCTACATAATTCTTGGGCATAAAGATTCAAAAACTCAGTAACACCTACTTTCTCTCCCAAGCTAAGTATGCGTTATCTATTCTTAACTTAGCTAATCTGACCAGGTGCAATCCTCTTGCTAATCCAATGTGCACGAAGCCTCCCACTACCTTCAATGCCGAGCCCTTTCTTGCTGACCTAGCTCTGTATCGGCGTATAACGGGTTCGCTTCAGTACCTAACACTAACTAGGCTGGACATCGCCTTCAGTGTTAACATGTTATCTCTAATGAGCCTAATGAACCTAAGTAAATCATGATTACTGGATAAATCCACTACGCCACTACTCTCTGTATTGACTACTCCGATATATCAAAGGTACTTTAAATTTTGGATTACCTATCACCAAAACTAACTTGATTCTCAAATCCTTTTCAGATGCGGATTGGGCTGGCGATCCACTCATACGACGATCTACATCTGGCTATTGCTCATTTTTGGGCGACACGCTCATCTCTTGGACAGTTAAAAAGCAACAGACTGTGTCTCGCTCCTCTACTGAGTCAGAATATTGGGCTCTTGCGGCATTAACAAAGGACATCATTTGGCTAAGAAGATTACTTACAGATTTCGGGATTGCTCAAGACTACCCGACGGAACTATATTGCGACAATATGTCGGCAATAGCACTTGCCAACAATCCTATGTTCCACTCGCGCACAAAGCACATTGAGATTGATCAAAAGTTCCTACGAGATCATATTCAAAATAACAATATCCGGCTACATCCAATCAGTACCATCGACCAAACTGCTGACATTTTCACAAAATCTTTGTCTACTCCTCGTTTTCATCAGCTCAGACTCAAATTGACGGTCTGCCAAGACCCATCAATTTGCCCGGGCGTATTAGAACAGACAAATAAACAGTAACTTTGTATAGCCTTTTGTATTCGTTTGTACAGGTGTCAGCATAATATTGGCTGCTTACACCTTTAGCTACTTTGTAGGTTTATAAGTATCTCTGTATTGTTTCTGAACGGATAGGTGAATTAATAATACTTTTACATCTTTCTGTTTCTTGTCTCTGTTCTTCTTTTTCCTTCATTTCTACTTACTCGACCCCTCAATCTTGTCGATATTCCTGTAAATAAATAAGGCATCAAGGGTCAGATTACAAACTCAGTAAAACTAATCCTCAAGACTCCTTGGGCTTCCTCTAAAATCTATTTTTGTCCCTTTTCATACTCATTCCTTCTCTATCTCTATATAGAGTGTTCATTAATCAAATTTAGATTTAACAAATCAAGCTATTCGAGCATCCTTTAATAATTATCATTACTAGCCTCAAATAAGATTCTTCACATTTTCACACAATAGATTTGAATCCAACGAAGGAGCTAGCAAATCGAGAAATTCTTGAAATTGTGCTCTATGAAATAAAATTTCATCTCATTATCTTGAAATAATTTAATTTCGCCTAGATACATAAGTTTCTTAAGGAACCTCCCCGAGTTGTAAATATGTACCAATAATTATTTGCAAAATAAATTTTCTTTTGCAAATATCTTGTGATTAAAAGTATTTTTGGTTGACTAACGAGTTAGACAATTTACAGCTATGCAAATTGGCTAGCAAGGCACCAATAAGGGCATCTCCAACCGAAAAATTCATTTTTCACTCCAAAATGCAGTAATACACCAAAATGCAGTAATACACCAAAATGCAGTAACTTGTCTCCAACCGAACTCCATTTTCTAACACCAAAAAAGAATATTCCTAGTATATTCTTCTCCATATTTCATTTTACATATTTTTAATCATTAATATTATTTATCGAATTTTTGAATTAAATCTAATATAATTAAAACAAATATTTTTTGCTCTATAAAACAAATATTTTTTGCTCTATAAAAACTCCATTTTCTAACACCTGTCATAAAAAAATGTAAAATATCCAGTACGTCCGGCGTATTGCCCAGCCCACCCGGTAGGACAATTTTTCCAC